GCTTGTCTGAAGGAAAATGTCAACTTTTTGTGTATATAACATGGAGTTTAAGAGTAAAAAGATTGATGGACAAAAGTGTTTAGACAACATATAGGGTAGGTACATATATAGCAAGTTCCAAAGCCAACTTGCCCTCCACATTCCTCCACCTGCTAAATATATATAGAATTGAATTTACATATATATATATATATATGTATGTATGTAGTAGCTAAACTAATATGTGAAGCTTCAACATGCTAAGCATTAGTCCAGCTCCAAGTCCAATGCGCCAACAATTAAAGTACACAATGAGATCTTTAGAGATTTAAAATTTAAATTTCTTTACTTACATAGTCATGGGCTTAAACCTTAATTAATTAAATTTGAAAGTTTGAATAATCAATTCATGTAGGGTGACTCTAATAAAGTCATTGCATGGGACATGTAGCATACTTTAAATTTTTTAAAAAATGATTAGTACACATTTATTTTAACACATTTTTTAACACTCATCTAATTTAGTTTTTAAAAATATAATATAAATATAATTGATTCAGTCAATTCATACATCTTGTGTGCATGGTTATATCTTTAAATTTGTTTGTTTTTAATTTTAGATAAAAAAATGTGTTTTATAATATATTGAACCAAAATATATATCAATTATTGTCCAATACCAAAACACATAGCATAAAATAAAAGTGAAGGTCTTCACCACCACCTTAGATTTTGGGGTAGAATTGAAGCACATCCTAACCTTAGATCCAAGGTTTTATAGTTAGTTATAAATACTGACATGACCAAGCTTTATTATGGTAAATGTGATAAAAAATTTTCTCCCTCATTTCTCACACACACATGCTTAGGCTAAAAAAATTTGGACGGCGGTATGTAGAAAACTTTTTATCACATTTATCATAATAAAGCTTGGTCACGTCAGTATTTATAACTAACTATAAAACCTTGGATCTAAGGTTAGGATCTAAGGTTAGGGTGTGCTTCAATTCTACCCCAAAATCTAAGGTGGTGGTGAAGACCTTACCTCACTTCTTATTTTTTCTTTTACTAACCTTTCAATATTTAATTAATAATCACATTAGATTCCAATTAATTCGGAATCGAACTAAGTTGGATCCTATAACAGAAAAAGCTCTCCAACACTTATTTTTCCATTCACAAGACTTGAACTCGATATTTTATTTAAAAGGAATTGAGTTTATTTCATTCAAACCAACAGATCGTTGGTACCTCACTTCTTTTTTATACCATATGTTTTGGTATTATGATTTGAGGTTAAAAATTCTAAATTTTATACCACAACTTGTTCCTGCATTGTTCTATTAAAATAAACTTCATCAATTTCCTTTATACTTTGGAGACCCCCCACCCACATGTTTCCTTTTCAAATTCTCTCTATATATACTACGGCCAGGAAGGGGTCTATACCAGGTGTTGCTTGCATAGCTTTCCTTCTCTCTCAAACTTGTCAAGCAACTAACTTCCTCCATTAGTTGCTTGGTGTGTGCTCTCTCCCTCTGTTTCTGTCTCCTCCTGGCTCCTACTTATACACTTAATTTATCTCAAAGTTGTCATAAGAGCTACTTAACATGGCCCAACACAACCTATTCTACGCAGTTTTTATCTTCCTTACCCTCATGTTCATTCTAGAAATCCAGTTTGTTGAGGGACGGCATTTGAAGTTTCACTCAGAAAAACTCAATACCTACAAAAGATTTCTTGCAAAAGAAACAACAAAGGTCGACATTAACTTTGACATTAAAGCAACAGACACTGATGTGCAGTCTCCACCAGCAGCGCCATTGACACCAGGTGCCGTGGCTGGAGCATCCCAAGGCCCACCACCACGCCATGTTGATGACTTCAGGCCTACAATGCCTGGTCACAGCCCTGGTATCGGCCACGCCACTCAGAACTAGGACAAGTTAATTTCTTTGTGCATGGCTTTAATTAGGAAAATGTATGCTCTCATTAGTCCATTGTGCTAAAATGTGCCTAAGTAGTCATTTCCTCTGTTAGCTAGAGATCTTGAGCTTATTTTCCCAAGTAGTCTTGTAATGTCATTAATATCATCACCTTTTTTTCACTATGCAGTATTTTTACAAATTTGTATTGGTGTGGATTCAATTAGCTTACATAATTGTTTCTAAATGCTTTATCCATCTTCCTTGGAATTATTTATTGTTTTCAATTAGAATTTAATATTAATTATCAAAAAATATTACAACTTACTATATATAAGTTTTATTCAAGGGTACCTACTGTATGGTAAAAGGTTTCTATTCAAGGACCAGATAAGGATAAAAAAATTTAATACATTGAACTGAAATTTGGAATAGTTAAGGGTACTATAGGTAGGGGTAATGTCGAGCTTGGCATGTCCTCGTGATTTAGTGCTGTGTTTGTGTTGCTTTAGAAAGTCAGTTGAATACAGAAGGTCAAAAGAGGCCTGAATACACAGTACATGTTATACCAATTGCTATGTAGAAATTAAGAATTGAACTTTTACACCTATGAATGAGAGAACAGGTAACAGTATTTTTAGATCATATGACTAAACAATCAGTAAAGTGTGAACCTAAACATCTTCACATATTATTATTTTTTTTTTTATCAGCAAAACAAAGTGAAATCATATTATTGTAGGACTATAAGAAATACTCCTTCATAACAATACACTGTCTAACCGAAATACAAATCCAACTAAAAACAAAGTAGAAATGGAAACCCAATAACCCAAATACAAACCAAATAGAAATGAGGAATCATAACATGAGACGTTGTAGTTGCTTATAATTCTTCAAATCTTTACGGTATTGAACAATGGCTTCCCTACAATCCATAGGTTTTGATTCCCAATCTGTATAAGAGAACACACAACCAAATTCTTTATTTTTAAGCCATAGAAATGATTTAGCCTGGATAGACTCCAATAACTGAGCTTCAGTCATAGAAACAGTTTGAAACACCTTGATATTCCTCCGGTACCATACAAACCAAGCACCAACCAAAAAAATAAGAGCTCCCAACTCCTTCAAACTTCCCCCACCTATTCCATACACCACATACTCCACCAAACCACATATATTATTTGGTAAGACACTCTACAAACCCCACCAATCCAAAATCTTCATCTAGACTATCCACACCCCTTTACACTCACAAAAAATATGATGTAATTGCTCCACCCCCTCATGACAAAACCCGCATCCAACATCCTCCCCTATCAAAACAATCCCTCTTTTACATAAATTCTCCTTTGTGGCCAACCTATTCAAAAATAATCTCCACCCAAAAATACTTAATTTAGAAGGAACATATTTACTCCAAATAATTTTAGACCACTTCCCATCCAAAATACTTACTTTCGGTGTTAAAAAATTATACGCCACCTTTACAGAATATGAACCATCTCCACGAATCTATCCATCTATCCTCAACTTTACACCATTAATCAACTCCCTAAGCTGTTCTTCCTCACCAGCAGCCCTCCCTATACACCCATGTCTCCACCTACAATCCCATACCCAACCATCAGCACTCCAAAGACCCATATCCTTTAACAACCCCTCCCTATTAGTAGATAAGGCGAACAACCTAGGAAATAAATTTTTCAATGGCTTTTCTCCCACCCATTTATCACTCCAAAAATTCACACAACTTCCATCCCCCACTTTCCATTTAAAGCCCTTTACTAGCATCTCCAATAGCCTTTCAGACCCACTACCCACACTCACAATGTCCTTCCACACCCGAGACATATTTAAAGATGCAAATGAAGTAACTTCAACCTCCTTTCGACCCCCATAATATTTCTCCCAAATCACCCTCTTCCATAAACCCTCTAAACCATCTCCTAACCTAAACCACCATTTACCCAACGAAACACAATTCCTCCTCTCCAAATCATCCACTCCTAATCCATCTCTCTCCTTATTCACACATATACTGTCCCAACTAACCCATGGAATCTTTTTATCCAAATTCACACCACCCCAAAAAAAATTCCTTTGAATTTTAACTAACTCAATAAGCACACATTTAGGAATTTTGAACAAAGATAAGTAAAAAATAGGGATAGCAGAAAGTACCAAGTTAATTAAGGTAATCCGACCTTCAAATGACAGTAGTGGGCTTTTCCACAAGGCAAGCTTAGATCGAAAACGTTCCAACACTGAATTCCAGAACTTTTTCCTCCCCGGATTCCCCCCTACTAGCAAACCAAGGTATATAAAAGGCACCTTGCCTACCCCACAATGTAAAATAGCCGCTGCACCTTTTAACCACCCTTCTAAAACGTTAAACCCATACAAATGACTCTTGCTGAAGTTAACTTTCAGCCATAAAATCAATTCAAACCAATGCAAAATAGCCTTCACGACCCTTAAATTATCAGCACATGCCTTTCCCATAAAAATAGAGTCGTCTGCAAACTAAAGCAACCACAAACTCATAACACTCGTCCCAATATCCACCCCTTGAAAAAGCCCTTCACTCTCAACTCTTTTGACAAGCCCACACAACCCTTCTCCAACTAATAAAAACAAAAAAGGAGACAAAGGATCACCTTGACGAAGACCTTTACTAGTTGTAAACTCTGTTGCTGGGCTTCCATTTATTAGAATAGAAATCTTAGCTGTCGAGAGACATTCACAAATCCACTTCCTCCATTTAGCCCCAAACCTCATTCTATCCATCATCCAATCCAGAAAATCCCAATCCACACAGTCATAAGCTTTCTCAAAATTAGCTTTAAAAATAAAACTCTCTTGTTTTCTCCTTTTTACCTCATCCACAGCCTCATTCAAAATTAGCACACTATCCACCAATTGCCGTCCACCAACAAACGTTGATTGCGAATCACTGATAATATTTGCCATTACCTTTTTCAACCGATTCGCCAAGACTTTTGCCAATAGCTTATACAAGCACCCAATCAAACTAATAGGTCGATATTCCTTAAATTGCACTGGATTCAATTTTTTGGGGATTAATGTCAAAAATGATGAATTAAGGCCTTTAACTAACCTCCCATGACAATGAAATTCCTACAGGAAATTCACAAAATCATCCTTCATCGTGCTCCATGCAAATTTTATAAAATTAAAATTGAAACCATTTGGTCCTGGTGCCTTCGATCCAGCACAACTTTGAAGTCCCTCTTCAATTTCCTCTATTGTGAAAGGTCTTTCCAACCACTTCTTTTGTATCGCAGAAATTCTATGAAATTGAATCCCACCCAAGACAGGATGATGCCACTTTTCATCTCGAAACAGCTTGCTAAAATACTTAATTGCCTCCTCCTTGACTACATCCGGTTCCTCAACCCAACCATTCTCGCCTAAGATACCAGATATGCCATTCTGTGCTCTCCTTGCATGAACACTCCTATGAAAGAATGCTGTATTTGCATCTCCCAAACGAACCCACTTAGTCCGTGCTTTCTGCTTCCACACAGCTTCTCTCTTTCTTAAAATATCCCACATCCCCTGAAAACACTCCTTTCTCAGTAGCACCTCATTCTCTTCCAACTCATCCTCCTCACTTTTTTTATCCAACCTCTCAACTTGCTTTAATAGGGTGTCAAATTGAGTCTCCACATTGCCAAACACCCCACTATTCCATCCTTTACATTCCTCTTTTAAAAGCTTCAGCTTCTGTTTACATTTGTATGAGGCCCAACCTTTGATTTGCATAGCCTTCCATCTATCCTCCACAAATTCTCGAAAATCTGGATATTGTTGCCATGCATCAAGTACTTGAAAAGGCTTGGGACCCCAATCCACATTTCTTGATGTCAAAATAATTGCACAGTGATCAGAAATTGATCTTCGAACACCAACTTGAGTCCATTCTCTATCCAACAAACTCATTTCTATAGTTAGCAGAAATCTATCAAGCTTGCTCATTGAAGTTCCATCTGGTCTATACCAAGTGAATTTCCTATTCCGCAACTTGATATCAATTAACCCGGTCCCTTCTACAAAATGATTAAAATCTTCCATGTCCTATGTTTCTCCTAATCTTCCCTTCCTCTTTGTGACATTCCGAACTGTATTAAAATCCCCTACCATAAGCCATCTACCACCCTCTTCCAAAACCGATCCACCAATCTCCTCCCACAAAGAGGCCTTCCTCTGCCTATCGCACGGAGCACACATTAACAAAGTTGCATTTAGTGTGCTGACTTCCCCATTCACCAGAAATTCCAATAAAACCGTTTCCTTCTATCACTCTTTGTTTGACAAAATTTCTCTTATTCCATATAGACAACAAACCACCCAAACTACCCACTATTTTTGCATAACCTAGTCAAAATCATCTGAATTGCACAATGTTCTACATAACGCAACTTCCACTTCCTCTAATTTAGTTTCTTGAATAAAAAGAAAATCTAGCTTCTCCTTTTTAACTAACTTGGCAATCTCCTTTCTCTTTAACATACTACCCAAACCTCTAACATTAAATGAAATTACTTTCATAAAGAAAATTGTACCTCACAAACCTCCATTCCGCCAGCACCCAAGCTTCAGGCCCCCTTGGAATTAACCTCATCTCTCTCCTCCAAAGCTGCCAACCTAGAAATCACATCTTCATCGTTTTGTTGACATTGAATCCCCAACCTTTGCCCCAACACAAATAGTTCCCTCACCTCATTTGTCTCCAATTGTCGCCGAATAATCTCATTTCTGTGTTGAATGCAACCATCTGACACAGAGCAACTTTCCTGCTGCAGATTCGGCCTCTCCTCTTCTTGCATTGCTGTTATCCTCCTATCCCGTCTACTCTTAGTTCGTGCCGTAATCCAACTATCACCCTTTCTCATCGATTCATCTGCTCTAGCAACCCCTGCATAAATCTCCCTCAGGTTTCTGTGTTTTTTTTCCGTCAATGCCATCTGTTGCAGCTGGGTAGAAGTCTCTTGAATTTTAAATATGGACCCACAACTAGGCTGTGCTTCCTCCAACCCAATTACATTGTCAACAACTCCTGGCCCAACCTGGTTCCCCTTATCCGGCCCAAATTCTTCTAGCCCATTTAGGCCGACAAACCCAGCTGCTTCTTCTCCCTTTGACTCTACTTGTCTACTTAACTCTATGTTTAAATCCAAATCCGTTACAACATGATCTTCGGCCAACTCTCTGCCATCTTCGCCCAAAAAACCATTTCCATTCAAATTCAAATTCAAATCGCTGTAACCGTCATCGCCTTCTTCATCCTCGCTGCTGAAATATTCTAAACTGGGTTGAGTGGTTGGATTTCGACGTTCTCCGACCAACCACCAGTCCTAATCCATCCTCCACTCCTCCTCTGACACTACTATTGGCAAATCCTCGCAAACAAATGGTTGTTGATATTTTCCTCTTTTTTGCACTCAAAATCAACACCCTTCCTTCACATACAAACGATTTACTCCTCGTATCCTCGTCAACAAGTATCACCTCTCCAATTATGCTCCCTAATTATGTGAAGCATCTCTCACTCCATGCCTTCAAAGGAACACCATTGAGCCGAAGCCATACCAATCTACTCAATGAAGATACTGTAGATAAAGAACATGGCTTTATCCATTCAAACCACAATTCCACCAATTCTCTAGTTTGGTTGAGAAACTCCTCTAGGCCACCTTCCGAATTATCCACTAAAATGACCTGTCGACCACCAAGCAGAGCAACATTCACCATTAATCCCTCCACATCCAAGCTGTTTTGAATTTTCTTCACCATATCCAAAGATCGAACCTTAGCCACCATACTTTGTTTCAGCCATACCACTTCGTCATCTTTAGGAATAAAGTTTAAAACCCGCTCTATTTCTGGCACAGTAACCTTCTCAGGTGATGTCTCTGGCACCACGTTCAATTCCCTCAACCTTAAACCCTCCTCCCCCGCATCCTCCATAGCCTCCTTTCCTTTCTTTGCAACAACCTGCTTGATCCCATTAGTTGAGGACTTCCCTTCCTTTAGTGCACCCATATTTCCAACAACAACCTGAGCATAAGTTTTCCCTGGAGTCACCTTACTGTCTCTTCTAATCCATTGTTTCTCCAATTGCTTGTGCTATCCCAACAATGTCCCCTCCCTTCCTCTTTTCATATTCTCAGCTAGCTTCACCTTGAGATGATAAGAGTCTATCTTGATCTGGTTCAATTTCCTTTCCATATCCTTAACATTTGAGACATTCAACATACGAACAAAACCAAACCGACGGCCTCTTCAATCGCGCATTGCTGGAATATACACATCTGCCACCTTCCCAAATGACCAAAAACAATACCACAAATCCTTTGCTGAATGATTCGCTGGAAAATCGTAGAAGAAATACGTAGTTGCCTGCCCAAGATACTACTTGCCATACCGTGGAAGCTGCCGCCTGATCCCACTACCACTGTCCTTGGCTGTCAGAAACCTTGCCCTAACCCTAGCACTGTCTCTCGCTAACTCTCTCATTCTCTCTCTTATCTTCACATATTAATTAGTTTTGTGCCGTAGATTCCAGCTTCCTTTGTGACACAAGGCCAGTTAATTAACAACTATCCGAAAGCTTGTGCTCTACAGCTTTGCATCGCACGCACAACCTAGAGA